AGATAGGCAGCTTGAAATCATTGTTTCAGTTGAAAGTAAACCTGAAAATTAGATTAGTGAAGGAACCAGTTCAGCAGAAATGAACTCCACTCTCTCCAGTCCGATAAGGATCACTGCCTACCCTAACAAAAAAACCCCAACATTAAATGCATGCATAGGTATATGTAAAAAATTGCCATACACTCCCCTTTATGCTTTCAGTAACCTCACCAGAACAAAAACCTTCGCCCCTTACAAGAAAACCTACTACCTTCAGAGTCTGCATGCAGCACTAATAAAGCAGAAATGCGTGTTTAACTCTGATTGCACTCTCCCATACGTCACAGCAGACTCCAGCAGCCATCTGTTGGAAGGATGCTGTGCCTATATATAGCCAGACATCACCACAAGAGAAAGAAAAACTCGTATCTGCACCTAATTCAGCATGTGCACTACTGGCAGATCTGCAAGCACCGTTTTTTTTACTGGCCAACAAGTGTTCACTCCACAAATATCCTATCTAAAAATGACAAAAACTTCAATGTAAAATTATCTGGAGCAAGAAAGTAACTTGGTCGTTAAAAGGAGCACTAACAGGTGGGAAAGCAGCTTCCAGATACACAGATTTTATGGGCCATTTGCAAGCACAGTTGATTTCATCCCAATTTAATGTGCCAGTCTCCCAAAACAGCAAATAGAAAAAATCCGAAAATCCTAACAAACTGTATTCAGTACATTCCTAAGACTTGGCCAAGTTCGATATAGGTACACCTCAAGAGACATGGACAACTCAGAGATGACCTGAAATCTGGGAGTCTGGGACAATGAGCCAGTTGCAGCCCTGGTGAGAGTTTCTCCTTCAGAGGCTCAGGACCTGGACAACCTCAGGACCCGGGAGATGACATGCAGGAATGAAGAACTGAAATGAAAACTCCTCATAGGAAACCAAATGGGTGCTGCCATTGTTTTTCAATTCTTTTGTCCTCAAAAACAGGAGTAATGGGGCTCGCAAATAGGCCAGTATAGTAGCAGAGCCATGCGATTGCATGTGATTTTTGTTTCCTATTTAAATTATTTGGAGGAGGGAACTGAGTGAACAAACCTGGATATGCCTGGGACAGCAGGGGGAGCTGCGAGTCTGCGTTCCTCTATTTAATTGCATTGAATATTTGGTCAAAAGCACACGAGTGTGCTTGCACATCACCACAGAAAGATGCCTGCATGTCTAACAAGCCTCAGAAAAGAGAGTTCATAACAAAGCATTAAGCAAGGAGCAAGAGATAACTGTCACTTTCTCTCACTAGATAATAAAAATAGTTACATCATAAACATAAAAATCTTTCAAAAGACCCCTGACAGCACACCCTTCTGGAAATATCACCATAGCAATGAGCATCCAAGTACAAGGGAAGTACCACTGAATCCTGTGTTTGATATTTTCGTGTAACTAAAAATACAAACCGGCAAAAATACACATGGGTGACGTAGAATGAGGCACACAAACATAAAGAGCCTTCAATGAAATTAAAGGTGGCAAATTCCACCTGCAAATCTTTAATCCACCAAGAAAAAACCTTTCACCAGGTAGCATACATTGAACGAGTGCCTGCAGATAACTGTAAACATATCTGATAGCTGCTGTATCCAACAATTCTCATTTAGAATGCTTTGCATGATTTGCAGGTTTGTGTAGAGGCTCAGTGGCAGAATTGTGTGAAATCCAAGGCAAAGATGCCCATTAGAGAGGAGGCAATAAAGAGCCACACTAGCAGAACCTTACAGGAAACTGAAGACTCAGAAAAGAAGGGAATCTTGAATGTTAAGATTCAGGCACACAGCAGTGCTCTGGGGAGGGCTGCTTGCAAACTGAAAAATTGTGTCTCCTCAAGCTGGTGCCATTAAATACATCTTATTTCTATGCCATTCAGATCAAAATTAAGATTAAATGAAGGAGGGAAGAGTTTTAAAATTCCTTTCCCAGATGCAGATGTCAGGAGTAGACACAAAAGCGGGTGCTGGGTGTATTGATCTTAGTGAATACGCATGGAATGGGTACTTGAGCATGTACCAAGCATCTGTGTCTGGGAGACAGAAAGCACTTTGTAAAAGGCTGGTTTATGCTAAACAAATGCATCAGGTTATGTTTTTATTTTGAATATTTTAAAGTATCCTGCACATTGGGGCAGACTTGAAAAGAAATTACACAGACAACTTGCCATCAATTGCACCAGCTACCCTCTCCATAGCTGCAAATTGTCTGTGGTCTGTCTCACTTAGGAGCCACTCCAAGCTACTGAAAACCATCCTCAATAAAGCCTGCTCTGACTGCTGCACCTAAGAGAAATGGAGATCCTAAATCCAAAGGTAGTTCAGGTCCCAAATGCTGGCCCAGCTGCAGCTAGGCAAAGGGATAGGCACATTTTTTATAAACATTGGGGAAAGGACAAATCCAACACTGCAAATTCCTACCAGAATAGGTATCCAAAGAGGTTGAGATGGACAATACATGCTGACAATGACAACAAAAATACCTTAAGAGCACATGTAGAAGAGACAACAAGCCAGGTTCCCTTTGAAAATGTGGCTACTGTTTGAAGTAGCCCCTGAGATCAAAGTTTTCATTTTCACTAACAGACTATGACGAAACTCTGTATCAGAAATCAAACTCTGCACTGTATTTGCGTGTGGAATCCTTTCTGCTTTCTTCAGTGAGGGAAAAAATAAATCCCTACAGGAGATAACAAGATACCTTTTAAACCACATACCTCGTTTCTGACTACAATTACCTTTCAATAGTCTGGCACAGCTGCATGCTCCTATTTGCTTTTTTTTTTTCATTAAGGGCTCCTCTGTTATTTGTGCCCATCCTATAGCATTTATGGCTGGCAGTAATGCACATTCCCTTGTCTACAATTCTTCCTATAGATAGTAGAGGATAAATTGCAATTAGATTTTTGTAATCATAGATAATTAACTCAAAATGAGCTGTTAATTATATAAAAAAAGTCCTGTTTTTTAAGTTCTTTATTATATTATTTTACTTCACACTTCAGCAAGTTTTGTATTTTAAAGGTATTTCACCATTTCCTTTAAAACACCAGGATATTTTTAAAGTAAGCTTTGCTTATTTGAAGACTGAAATCAAGTTCTGTGCTGTAAGATTTGCTAGAAGACCTCTCATGTATGAACTGGAAGTCAGAGAGGGCTGATTTTCCATTAGCGTTCTGCTGGCATTTGCTGTAACAAGAACTGTTTGACAGGTCAATTAAAAGGCAAACACCACCACCACAAAAAAAAAAAAAACAAAACAAAACCAAAAAAAACCAAAAAAAAACCCCACCAAAAGAGTCAGTTAAAAAAAAAAATGAATACCTACCAGCTCTTCCTCTTTTCTAAGATGTGGTCACACACTTACACACTCTCCCTCTCTGTACTGAAGAAAACATCACTTACATATTCAAATGCATAAAAGAGATAAATGGACTTGTCTTCTACAGCCTCTTTAAGCCTTACATTAGAGTAAATTATTTAGGGACCATTCATCTGATAACCTTTGCAAAACTGAAGATGGCATATAAGAAGAAAAACTTCCAAGTGTTTTGCTGCCAAACTTTGTAACCAGCTGGCATGGCACCTTGAGACTGCTCAAACACACAATAACTTTGAAAAATTACAGTAAATTAAACCAGGGGAATGTAGAGAGGGTGGGGAACCTTTTGAAATCTGCAACTCTCATTTTGTTAACAGCACAGGTTTTCTTCATTTTCCCTGTTACGATATGTAGATATTTGCAGGTTTTTGGTAAACTGTTGCCAAGAAGCTCTGCAGATGTTCTAGGTTAGATTTTTCCTCCAAGGGGCTTAATGCTGCTGCATCTTAAACATGTCATGACTCTCGATCTTTTTTGCTACTGCGATAATACTTTGATCATTTCAGTTTGTGTGAAAATGAAAGAAAATGCATTCAAATACAACAAAGATATGCCAGTAACCCAGAGCAGCCAAACACCTGGCTAAACAGTGAAGTATTCCAAGGAAACTAACAACTCCTGCTGTTCTGGAGAAAAAAAGGCTTACCCCTTTCCAGTGAAAAGGGATCTCAAAAAAGAAAAATAAAATTAATATAACAAAGTTAAAAAATAAGAAAAAATAAGGTATTGGACTCTTAGTTTATAAATGAATTATCAGTTCTTCCAGTATTCTCAGAACAGAGAAATTTATTACTTTGAGGTATTCTCTTGTCACTAAAGGAGTCATTCAAAGCACAGCTGCTCATCTTGTCCACCATTCTTTGGTCAAAAGAACACCTATAGTTGCAGCACAGAACAAGAAACTGTTACTCTCTGATAAAAGGAGAAAACCTTGCCAGTTTTTATTTGTTGCTTTCCTAATAAGCCTGAATCTTCTTCCAGTGTTAACTTGAATGCGACAGGGCAGGACAGAAGGCAAGTACAATAGTGTACTGATTGAAGTTTTAAATAGCAAGCAGAATGGAGATAAAGAGCTAAATATTGGCTTAACTCTGCTTCCAGTTATTTCAGTGGTGGTTTGCTCTGATCACACTGAAGTAGCAGTGCAGTAAGAGATATTTAAAAAAACAAGTAACTGTCACCAACCACGGAAGATCAATCTGAGAGTTAAAGGATAATGTATTATTTACATCAGGTCCAAATAAAGACTAAAGAGATGTTCTCATCTTAATTTAAAAAGTAACAAGCAGCACCTATAACGAAGAACTCAAACTAAAATTTTGTGAAAACTCCATTTGGCACAGGGCTAAGAGGTGGCACACAAAACCTGAAGCCTCTTCAGGAAGTCACCTAAACTTTGAGTAATAACAGGTCAGCATAACTATTGAGTTGGCTCATAAAACACAGCAGCCAATGAATTTTACCCTTCCTGCAGAAGAAAAGCTCTTAATCTGAAACAAACACATGAACAAATACACTTGGCAGGCAACAGCACACTGTCAAGAAGATATACTGACCCTGTGAAGCACTTAGAAGTGAAGAGAGAAATTACCTTAGCCCCATGCTGCTGCCATTCATCATCAGAGCAAGATCTCTGGGTGCTTCAGCAATGGGCCCATCTTCTAAGCCAGGTACATGGCCTCTAATCCTGGAAAAGACAAGTTATTTGCTTCTGCAGCTGGTCAAATCACACTAGAACTTGCCTCTAAAAGGTGACTACAAACAGGGCACTTTTACACATTAAATGGTTTCACAATTATCTTCACACTTTCAAATATACTTTTGTATTGGAAGGCTGGTTCAGGCCCAGTGCCTTTGCTTCTAAGGGTTACCACTGGGACAACCTTAGCCAGTGTAACTTGGTTGAGTGCTAGCATTTCAGCATTGGAAAGGGAAAACTAGGGAAAAATCTGCAGTCTTTTCATTACAGAAACAGAAAAGTTTCATTTACGGATTACAGCACCAGTGCTCAAAGGCATCATGCATAAGCTGCATAGAACATAATTTGCATAAGATGGTTGTGTGTCCTCAAACTATGGGGCCACAAATGATGCTCCATTTTTAACAGATCACTCCACCTTCTCCTTTCTCTCCAACAAAGACAGAAAAGTCAAGATAAGGTATTTATTTTTTACTTAACTAAAATTCCCATTCCCAAGCTTTGCTTCTACTAGGCTGCTCCAATGAGGCTTGAACCAGGAGGAGCCACTGAACTACACAGACACACACCATTTTTGATAGCTGAGCAACTATTTCACATAGAGAGTAGCTGCAAACTAAAAGTACTACGGTCACATGAGGCTAAGTAAAGAAATGTGAAAAATTAAAAGCAGTTATGATGCAGTGTGGTTGAAAAAAGGATCAACTCACACTTTAGATAAAAGATTAGAAAACTTTGTTGCCAATAACTGCAAATAGTCAAACCTCTTATTTGTCATGGACCTTAACCAGCACTCCACTCAGGCAGGAGGACAGACAAAAATAAACACTATCTGGAAAATAATTTTTCTTGTATTGTTTTTTAATGCTGTTATGATGTTCTAACTCAGAACCTCCTGACAGTGAAGCAAAGGGTATTTGAGCTTAGCTAAACAAATTTTTATTGTTAGCAGTATATAAAATTACTCTGTTACCAAGTGCAAAATGAATCCTATATTTGGAACTGAAACAGAACTATGATGCCTAAGAGATTTACCTCTAAATATCAAACATTTAATTCTAAAGATATGGAAATATTTTTAAGAAGAAACACTTTATATTCTAGCTGTTTTCTTAGAGAGAATACGGCAAATCTGACTTCACATGCACCTGTGAAAAGACATCACAAAAAAAAAAAAAAGTCTTCAGATTGGTCATACATGATTTTTTTTCATATAATTATTTTTATTTATTTTTATTTAACTAAAGCTCTGTAAACTATAAAGGGCTTTTTTTCAGAAAAAAAAAAAAGTAGCCATAATAGAAATAATGGGACTAACAACCACATCATTACAGATATTTAAGGTGCATTTTTTCTGAACTTACGCCCCCAAACCTGAAAAATTTCCATTAGAAAAAAAAATACACAAAAAAACTCAGTTTGTATATCCTTCATAGCTACTTGTTTTTCATTAGAGGGATGAATGCATAGAATTAAGGTATTTGATGATTAAGAATCCATCTGTTCCTACTTAATTCTTACCTGAAGTCATAATCCTTTGTTAGCAACCTCAGTCATTTTCAACACACACATTTGTGATTTCCTCTAAGACAGGTACTTTTAAAGCCACAGAAACACGTTCTTTTCAATGTAAACAACAATCAAAGAAGACAAACAGAAGTTGACCTAGAATACAGTACTCTCTTTTACAGTCTGAAAAGTAACCAGGAGGCCGAAATTAAGAACGGAAAGTGATGTACTCCTCCATGGTGGTTATGTAGTACATGGATGTAGGAAGTGGGTCATCTAATGCAGACTCTCATGGGGTGCTGTCAGCAGCTGCCATATTAAAACAGTATAGAAATATCCATCTCTGTGAAACACTTCTATCACCTCTTCCAAAAGACTGCAGATTTTTCCCTATTGTTTTTCCTTTCTAATGTTGAAATGCTAGTACTCAGCTGAGCTGCAATGGCTAATTTAACCTGTTTCCATTCACTGTTCCATCATACAAAAAAAACCCAGTTGTTCTCTCTTTCTCAAAGACTTTATTTACGATGTCAGAAAAGTGTTACTTTCTGCAACAATCTTACAGGCCTTTCAAGTCACATCTCACATTTCTATGGCTGCTCCATCTCCCTTCAAGTTTTAAGCACCTAATGTGCCTCAGTCTTGGCATTCTCCCTTTTCACTAACATCACTGGAAAGAAAATGCCTTGGCTACACTGTGCTCCCTTCCTCTTCAATAAATATATGGGGGAAAACATATATTCCATATATAAAAAGATTTATATATACACATACATATATTGCACCCTCCTCCCAGCCTAGGAGGGTGCAATGCTTCAAAACTGACCTTTCCAAGGAAGAAGGGAGAATGCCACTTTTATGTCATCCATGCTCACACTGCTCTTGCCAAATATCTGTATTCCTTTCAAGTGCCTGCACAAAGATCAACCTCTCCTTTTCTTCTACTACTTCTCTTTTCCAACCTAGTCTTTTAGCAGTGTTTTCTTTCTGCCTTACTTTCTGCCACATACTGTTTTCCTCTGCTGCTTTCCACAGCTGTCATGCTGCTTCCCAACAGCATACGCTAACAAACTAAAGTCTCCTCTCCTCTGAATCACTCTTAGAAATTGTGCCATAAGCCTTGCCTATCTTGTTTTATTCTATCTATTGTTGCCTTGTTCTTCTCTCCCACTTAAATCAACTATTGCCCATATGCTTATTAGAAATTCTAGAATTTTTTTTTTAAATGGTAAGTCTCAAAATCACCTGTTATAATCCATACGGGATTGGTGTAGTTGCTGTTGTTTTAGGAGCAGTTTTGCTTCTTGCTTAGTCAATAAATGTTGGAGTCGTTCCTTTTCAATTTCCAGCTCCATTTTTTGAAGAAGCAGCTTCTGCCTTCTTTCTTCATACAACCTTTTAGCCAGCTCTGTTTCCTTAGGGCCTGAGTCTGTGCTGTGATTCAGCCCAGAACCTCGACAGTGCCTGGAATGATCACAGGTCTTGTGAACTGTCCCAGGGTGTTTTCTAAGTACCTGGCTGACATAGCAGCTCTCTTCCATGTTCCCGGAGCTCCCCACATGCCTCCAGGCACAGCCATGACTCACTTGCTGAGGGCATGTGCTCTGAAATTCACTTGCCCTCTGGTCCATCTCCTGAGCTTGCTTTACATGGTGAGGGCTCCTCTGCTTGGCTGGGGAAATCACATTGTTGCACTTTCTGTGCAAGTCGTTTTCCATTGGATATTCCTTCAGACACTCCTGATGGTTGTAATGCATTTCAGTATTGTAATTGTGGTTATTCCTGCAAGACTGAGACAATGCAACACGGGCGGGGCTTCCAGCCTTCAGTGCTCTACTGTTCTTACGTAGAGTCCAAGGTCCCCCAGCACCCAAGAAGGAGCTGTCCAGCCCCAAAGAGTGCTGGTGGCACAAGCTCTTCTTACTGGATACCTGCAACAGGAAAAACAATTTCCTGTAAATTACCAAAATTCATCTTTATTCACCAGTTTCTCTTGGTAAATGTGTTCTCTTCAAAACAGAGCTGCTGGTCCATGCTGATGGACATACAGCCAACCCCAGCAAAATGTTTACCAGAACATATACACAAATGTCCTATCAAATCTACATTTCATTCCATCTACACAAGTGTAATACATGTAAAACTACTGTCTGCAGGATCCTCAGCATAAAATGAGTCACTTCAGAGTATCAAGTAGTTGTGAGCATCCAGGGTTACATAAAATCAACCTGAAGAGTGGCAAAAAACATTAAATGTTAAGGTTTGAAAATGTTTAATTTTGAATACCGAGCCAAAAAATCCATTCAGCCACTATAAATACTCTTTGATTGGCTATTACACAGCAGGAGATTTGATGTAAAACATTTCACCTTGCACTGAATGGTATATTACTTACCGCTGGAAACTTGATGAGAGTTTTTGAAATATCTTTACAGAAACACAGATAAAAATGAACTACTTTCTGTAAAAAATGGTTGTACATCAAAAGCTGTCATTTAAATACAAAACATGTTTAAATACAGCTATAAATGTAAGTGATTTTTCAATTAAGCTGGGCAAGTGATATCAGTCTGATAAAACTCTGAAGAAAACAAGCAACTGTAATTCACATTTGTCAACCCAGTACAAGCAAATTCTAGCGGTTTTGCTATAGTCATGGATATCATGTAATAAATATCACAATCCTAGTTACATCCTGGAGTATCTTTGCACTAAGACTCATACAGGCAGTTAAGCATTTGAGCTTTTACGAACATCACAACAGCAGTGTATCAGGCACACACATTTCTTTTGCTAGAATTGTACATTAATTTCAGTAACAAACTGAATTTAAGCTTTGGGACCTTCCACAAAGATATGGGACTTTTTAATTATAGAAGCCAGATTTGTTAAAATAGCAAAACCATTGCACTGTGAGTGGTTTAGCAGGGAAATTTGGAATCCATTGATGAAAAAACAAAAGGTATTATTTGCACTCTGGGAATACTTACAATAGATAGGTATTGTGCACATAGAGTGCAAGATAGTCAGCCAGACCCAAACCACTCGAATTTAGGAATGCAAGCAAGTGTCCAGCAATGATTAGAAGAGAGATATAATACAAATCTATTCAGCATTTATATGTATAATTTAGATTCTTTTTTAATAAATAAACAAAATACCAAATATACTCTACTGCCCTTCAAGACAACCAATTACAAGTTTCTTGTAGACTTCACAGAATGTAAATTAATGTAGATTAGCACCTGAATACTGATATTTTATTATTTCCAGTTTTGTGCATACAAATATATCCTCTCTCCCATGTGATTGAAAGCCAAGGATGCTATGTTTTGCCCCAAAGGGCTCAGTGAGTTGGAGACATTTGCATTAATGTCAGTGTTAAATGTCTGAGGAAAGTCTGGTGCTTGGACTGGGTGAAAAGTGCAGGACACTAAAATATTTTAAAGTCAGAGGGGCTGGCAGGGACACTGAGCAGAAATGCAACATGCTGCCAAAAAGACGGAGTTTTGTTATTTATTATTTGCAGCATGCCATCCATGTTGGCAATATTTCCCAGACAAATAGAGGCTACAGAGCCCTTTTAATCTGAATTAGACAATAAAGAAAAGGACGATGTAGTCTCTCATTTCCCATATCACTTGTTTCTGCTTCTAGAGCATTTAGGACACCCACAAGAACAGGCTTTCAAGGTGGAGGGTTCTCCAGTCCCCATGGACAGCAGAAAGGCTCAGATCTGAAGATATTCTTAGAGCATCCTATCAGAGCTGACAGTGTAGGGTGGTCACAGAAAGCAAACACCTGTCTTTCTGCAGCCCATAAATAGTAGTTTAAAAGAACACATGTAAAAAAAGGAAAGTCATAAGATAAAACATCTGAGAACACCAGCTTTATTTTAGCAGTTTGCTGTCTGAAGAGACAAGAGAATGTTAAGAAATCTAAGCACATGAATGAAGATTTTACAAAATAATCACCAGGTTTAAGAATAAAGGTCCACATTGCAAATTAACTTCATGGCTGAGACTCTATTACGAGTCCCTGAAGGCCCTAAAAGAAAGATACCAGTTAGCATTTGTTGACCTTGGCTGCCATTAAGTCTGCCCTGATGGTCTCAGAAATGGCATTGACATTTAAAGACTTCATAACAAGGCAGAGAAAACTTCAGTGTTATTTCACAGATACAATATGTTTGCAGGGGGGAAAATTCTCATTAATGTCATTGAATATGAGTGGGATTTTCTTATTCCTTTAGAAGGAGGAGGTCATGTTAGGCAGAAGATTGAGTTCCAACATGCCTTTGATGGCTACTCAGTACTTTGCAGGGTTTAACTCCAAAGAAAAAGATTAACTATTGAGAGTCAGAAACTAGTCAATAACTTTTTTTAGTAATTGTGGGTTTTCTGCTAAAGCCATAATTGAAAAGACAGCTGGATGGCAGATGTTGCAGGGAAAATGGACTGACATTTACACTTCTGAGTGATGAAAAGAGACTGGTGCATGACATGACAGATCTGCAAAATGCAGGCCAGGTAAAGGGGAAAAGTAGAGAAAATAAATATTCTGAAGGCCCACCTACTTCTGTGAGTCTAAAGATACACAAGGATAAGGAATCAGGTAATTTTACAAGATGAGTTTAAGAAAGATATTGCCTACGGGACACATGGAAACCATGACGGGCTATGGTGGAACAGCTGTACTTGCTCCTCCATGGAGCTCCTCCAGGCTTGCTATGCCATATTTAAAGATACAAGTTCCTTTAACTGAGGCTTAAACAAACACAGACTGCTCCTTGTAAGGTAAGGAGTTAATAAGACTTGATTAGATGTGAAACTCTTGTGAAACAAGGAGATACTAAAAATGGTTTTAATAATCTTTAGAAGGATTTGAAGATGGAGACACATGTGGAAGTCTACGAAGTCTTTACTGCAACCCCAGTAATTTTTGCTCAGGGATTCAGCACAGAGCTTTAACAAACAACCAGTCTTTAAAACTTCCTATGAACAGACAAACAGTGCATCAGTTTTATGCACACAGCATTATGATCTCTGCAAATTGTTCTTAAATGCAACTTGTGTGCTTTGCAGTTCTAATTCACAGCACTGGCAGAAGAAGCACAGTTACAGACTGACTCCAGCACAAAGGGCTTTGTACTTCAAGGGATGAACCAGTAACAAAGCGTATCTTTACAATACCAGCACAGGCCAGGTCTGGACGGATTTCATTACATGTAGACACATGTTTAAGAAACAGCCCAAAATTATTACCTTGAGAAGTCCTGCATTCTGAGGGACAAAAGCTGGCAGCCGAGTAAAATACAATGCTGTTAGGGTGCAGAGCAAAATTGCTAGAGATGCTAACAGCATTAGGAGTTTAGTTCATAGCACCTGGGTTTGCAGTTTTTAGAGGAAATATGTCTGAATACAGGCAAAAGAGGCAATTAAATAAAAAATTCTCATGTGTATCTTGAGGACATTTCTCTAACCTGGATTTTCAGCTCAGGAGTTTCTTTTGATGGGGTAGAAAGAGTGGAAGGAACATGTTAATTTAGAACTAGTCCTTTTTGCTGATCTAAGTGGGGACGCTGAAGGAAATCAAGAAGAATCAACAGAAGCAGCAACCAGAGGAGAAATACAAAGATTTAAAGATATTTAAAGATGATGCAGAGACACACAGAAACACCTTCAAGAGCACCACTGGCACATATTTAAGATTCATCACCAGTGTAGCTGTTTTTTGGACGTGACCAGCAAAATTTATTAGGAAACATTTATTCACTGGAAGCATTGTGAAGTCCTGGCACAGGCTGTCCAGGGCAGTGGTGCAGTCACCAAACCTGGAGGTATTTACGAGACATGCAGGTGGTGCTTAGCAACGGGTTTTAATGGTGGGCTTGGCAGTGCTGGGTTAATGGTTGGACTCAGAGGTGGTTTCCAACCTAAACAATTCTGTGACTCCATCAGTGACCCAGATGACACTCTCACTAAGGTATATAACCTAAACCTGGAACTCAGTCACCACTCTGAATGGTTGATATATGGGTCTCATCTGAATAAAGCTTGGCTGTGGGTTTCAGGTCTATGAACAGTATAAGCACTTGCTTTTGTCAGCAAAATGAGGAGGATGTATCATAAATAAGCTCAGATAGCATATTGGGGCAACAGAAATGCTGTTTTGAAGAAAAATTACATCAAATTATAGTTCTATTTGAAGTATGTTACTAGTGATTAAGGAGTTATTCTTTCCAAGATTCTGTAAGAATTTATCAGAGAGAATGAAAAAGCATAAAGATTTTAAAGTATATTAGTAGGATCTACTGAAGTCTACAATTTTTTTTTCTTTAACTCATATAATCCTTTGTTAAAATCTGTACCATAAATAAACCAATATCAGTTATTACAAAGTGCCGTGTAATAGTACAGCAACTGTCTCTGTCACTACCTAAGATAAATACAGTAGATAACTCCTAAGGTAAGCCGACTATTTTTCAAGCAAGAAACAAAGCACTATTTTCTGCAGAAATTATGTATAGCTATGATTGCCATATTCCACTGAATAAAACAAGTGGTCTCAAATGAAAAGCACCATGAATGACAGTCACCAACCTGTATTTTTACTGTAGAAATCTACTGAACTAAACACATAGAACAGGTGTAGCTAAAAAAAAAGGTAGTATCACATCACAAAAAAGCGAATCTATAGCTGCTGGCTGACAGCAGAGGAACACCTCCTATGTTTGTGCTGCCTTCAGTATTTTTTCTCCTCTTTGTTAAGAGGGTTTGAGCTGGCATGCCAGGTGCACAAAAAACCTGCATTCAAAGTAGCATGTGAGCATTTGCTGGCACTCAGCTATAAGTGTATATTTTGCATTCATAAACATGCCACCCTTCTTCTCCAGCTACCCAAACACTGTTGGTAATTGCTAACAAAGGCT